CAGAAAGATAAATGCGGTCAGATACCTACTAGAGCAGCACCACCCCCTCAAGATTCTGAGCCTGCCTGGCAGGGTTGGTCCAACAAAGCCAGAGCCCCCTGATGGCAGAGCATAATATCCAAGGAAATTCTCAAAGCTGCTAATGAGAACGTTGACAACCTTGTACCTAGCCGGTGGAGATTCCGGTGGGGTACCCCCACCCAGGTAGTGGCAGTGCTGGCAACACTGGCTGCAGTAACCCATGGGGAGGGGGTCACACTCTGACAATCAGAGAGGGGGCATATTATTGTGGCCCTGGTGGCACAAAATAATCAAAGGTCTGACTGCTCGGAGATGCTTGGGAAAAATGGTTACAACGGGGGACCAGAGTGTTTGTGTCTCAGGGGAAGAGGGTGGATCTGATCTCCATCACCTATGACTTGACATAGGTTAATCAAATCTCACATTTTTGTCAATTTTTGCTCAATCTTGCATGCTTTCTCAAACTGCTGTAACTGTATATGCATTCGTAAATCAGGTCCTTTCTTGAGTTGGGCTCTGGGATGTAACAACCGTTGAGCAACTGAGCTTATAGTTGATTGTGGAGGAAAGGGGTTGAGTGTGTTAGAGTATGTGCGTGTGTGTGTGTGTGTGTGTGTATCCCACATCTGTTGCAAGGGGGTAAGGATGTTAGGGAGAATATAGGATGAACCACAATAATTGTTTGCTAAAATAAGAATTGCTTGACAAAAATGTAATGTAATACAATGGCAATCCGGGTTATAGGTAACAATCCTTTGCATGAACTGCCAACATTATTACGCATATTAATTAATAATGATGGAAATTAAGATATGCAAGATATTTGAATATATATGTATTTTTAATAGCTATATAGCTATATATATATATATATATATATATTATGTTGAGAGCATTGGCAATGCTTTTGATGGTTGACCGGCTCCTGTTTTGTGGGTGGCACTGTGTGCTGTTTTCGAAGGATGGGTCCTGGCCTCTCGGGGGGCCTAGGGATCCGGGGAGACGGGGGTGGTATGCCGATCACTGGGATGACAACCCAACTTGGGATGGGGAGGGGCTTTCGCGGGGGGGAATAGTGGAGAACAATTGGAGGGTTACTTAGTAGCAATGCAAATATCATGGTACTCATTTTTTATTGGTAAATTTACAAACATATATTATGATACATAGATTTGAAACCTGTATCTCATTATGGTAAGTGGTGAAATAAGTTTAGCCAGTTATAATTGTAATGGCTTAGCAGATAATAACAAAAGAATAACAATATTTACATGGCTCAAAGAGAAGGAATATAATATATATTGTTTACAGGAAACTCATTCAACAATTCTAGATGAAGTTGTGTGGAAAAAGGACTGGGGGTGGGTGAAATATACTTCTCCAATGGGCAAAGAAACTCAAAAGGGGTGATGATATTAATTAACAGTAATTTCGATCCAAATGTGCAAATTGTCCAAACAGATCCGCAAGATAGATGGATGATTCTAAATATGTTATTGGACCAGATATGGCTCATTAACCTTTACGGACCAAATAATGATGATCCACACTTCTTTGACAATATATATTATAAATTATCAACCCTGCAAGCAATACAAGACTCTATTATTATGGTGCGAGATTATAATACTGTTTTAAATAGCTCAATGGACCATAAAGGAAATCACACTACAAACTATCACCCTCATACTCTTAAGGAAATCATGAATGTCATGGATACATTAGAATTAGTAGATATATGGAGGCTTAAATATCCTGACCTAGTGAGATATACATGGCGGAGACTCAATCAAGCTAGTCGTCTTGACTTCTTATGTCATTCTCGTTGGCACCAAAAGTTTAAAAAGTGTTGACAGGGGACAGAATGCGGTCGGACCATCATATAATTGCATTATTTACATTTTAGTCATTTAGCAGATGCTCTTATCCAGAGCGATTTACAGTTAGTGAGTGCATACATTTTTCATATACATTACTCTTACTGAATTTCCATGTGGGCAAGGATATTGGAAATTTAATCAAAGCCTATTGGATGATAACTTGTTTTTAACTAGGACAGAGGAATATATAACATATTTTTTCCGACATAACATAGGTACAGTAAATCCCCTTATTGTATGGGACACTTTTAAAATGTGCCTTTAGAGGCCATGCAATTCAGTACTCATCTCGAAAACAAAAGCAATTTAGGTCAAAAGAGTCCATACTAACAAAGGAAACAGAAGGTTTAACAGAACAGATAGATAGCAATAAAAACTGTAACATAGAGTCTCAGAATAAATTAGAGGAAAAACAAAAAGAAATGGAGAAACTTATTCAAGAAAGATCAAGTGTAATATATTATAAAAATAAAGCAAACTGGATGGAATATGGGGAAAAATGCACCAAATTCTTTTTTATTCTTCAACATAGAAATGCTACTAAAAAGAATTGACTGAAACTGGTTACAAATGATGGAGTCACCCAAAATTATATTTTGAAGTATTTTAAGCATATGTTTTCATTTCAGTTGCCTCAATCTCCTCTAACTGAAGTTAATTGTAGGGATTGTTTCTCTATTGATAATGTAAAATTATCAGCCATACAGAAAGACTCATGTGAAGGTGAAATTACAGAAGAGGAACTTATGGATGCAATTAAAGACTTTAAGTCCAGGAAAACTCCAGGGTTGGATGGCATACCAGTCGAGGTATACCAAATCTTTTTTGATATACTCAGAGGACCGTTATTAGCATGTTTTAACCACTCCTATGTAAATGGTAGATTATCAGACACTCAAGAAGAAGGTCTGATTTCATTATTACTGAAACAGGATACAAGTGGGAAATATAAAGATCCAGTCCATTAAAAAAATTGGAGGCCCCTTACACTTCAGTGTTGTGATGCAAAAATTCTAGCAAAATGTATAGCGCATAGAATTAAAAAGGTATTGTCGGACATTATTCATTCTAAATCAGACAGGTTTTTTACATGGACGATACATTGGAGATAATATAAGGCAAGTACTGGAAACAATAGAACACTATGAAACATCTGGGAAACCAGGCCTGCTATTCATTGCAGACTTTGAAAAGGCATTTGATAAAGTACAACTGGAGAATTTCAATTTAGGAGAATCTCTTATAAAATGGGTTAAAATCATGTATAGTAACCCTAGGTGTAAAATAGTAAATAATGGCTATTTCTCAGAAAGTTGTAAAAACTGTCAAGGAGTAAAACAAGGTTGTCCACTATCGGCATATCTATTTATTATGGCCATCGAAATGTTAGCTATCAGATCCAACAATAATATCAAGGGATTAGAAATCCAGGGCTTAAAAACAAAGGTGTCATTGTACGCTGATGATTCATGTTTTCTTTTAAATCCACAACTTGAATCCCTCCACAGCCTCATAGAGGATCTAGATACATTTTCTAACCTCTCTGGATTACAACCAAATTGTCACGGTTTCGGCCGAGGCTGCTCCTCCTCCTTGTTCGGGCAGGCTTCGGCGGTCGTCGTCCCCGGAGTACTAGCTACCACCGTTCGATGTTTCATGTTTGTTTGGTTTTGTCTGTTTGTACACCTGTCCCTTGTTAGTGTTTGATTTGGTTTCCTATTTAGTTATCGTGTGTTGGGCCAGGTGTTATGTGTGATTGGTTTTTGTCTAGCTGTTGCTCTCATATTGACTCTCGTGTTTTGTTGTTTTCGAGAGTCCGCACTGTGTGCGCTATTGTCCTTTTACGCACGTTGTTGTTTGTGCGTAATTGGTATTTTGCCTCCCGGTTGGGTTGGCTGTTCGGTGCTGCCTTTGTTTTACTAAAGTCTGTTCACGAACGCCCGTGTTTCCTGCGCTTGATTTCCACACCGCATCTACACTCAGCTACTGACACAAATTATGATACACTGGGGAAAAAAAGTATTTAGTCAGCCACCAATTGTGCAAGTTCTCCCACTTAAAAAGATGAGAGAGGCCTGTAATTTTCATCATAGGTACACGTCAACTATAACAGACAAAATGAGAAAAAATAATCCAGAAAATCACATTATAGGATTTTTAATGAATTTATTTGCAAATTATGGTGGAAAATAAGTATTTGGTCAATAACAAAAGTTTCTCAATACTTTGTTATATACCCTTTGTTGGCAATGACACAGGTCAAATGTTTTCTGTAAGTCTTCACAAGGTTTTCACACACTGTTGCTGGTATTTTGGCCCATTCCTCCATGCAGATCTCCTCTAGAGCAGTGATGTTTTGGGGCTGTCGCTGGGCAACACGGACTTTCAACTCCCTCCAAAGATTTTCTATGGGGTTGAGATCTGCCACCAAGTACTAAGTCATGTTTTGCAGAGGGGTCAAATACTTATTTCCCTCATTAAACTGCAAATCAATTCATAACATTTTTGACATGCGTTTTTTTCTGGATTTTGTTGTTGTTATTCTGTCCCTCACTGTTCAAATAAACCTACCATTAAAATTATAGACTGATCATGTCTTTGTCAGTGGGCAAACGTACAAAATCAGCAGGGGATCAAATACTTTTTTCCCTCACTGTAGAACAGATCTACCACTTCCTTGAGACTTGTTTTCAATGAGAATGACAGAGCTATAACTCACATTTATATGTAAATTTGGTCGGGTCACCCAAAAAGTTACATATTTAATGTAAAATAAAACTTATAGAAACGTTTCATGGGAACATTGCAAGAACATTCAGAGAAAACCGCTGGACTGACACTCCATGCTGGTGGGAAAAATCCATCATATGCTCCAGAAAATGTTGACTTTCCTTTTTGGGGAACTTTTTGATCACAACGTTTACTCAAATTGTTCTGTATTAATGTAAATTGTAATTCTTAGTCAGCATGTGTTACCATGTAGTACATTATGGCCTCCTGTAGCTCAGTTGGTAGAGCATGGCGCTTGCAACGCTAGGGTTGTGGGTTCGACTCCCACGGGGGGCCACTAACTGTACGTCGCTCTGGATAAGAGCGTCTGCTAAATGACTAAAATGTAAATTATATTATATTAGACTGCTGTACGCGTTTTCACCCTGTCCTGTTTTTGATTGTAATATCCTTTGAGAAAAATAAGGTTTTTAGAAACAATCCCTGAATGCAATACATTTTTGTTAACCTGAAACTATATCTGCACCATCAACAGATTTGTTCAAAAACAATAATCATCACCTAATATAGTATTCACTAATGAAGAACTCACAGATGACAGAGCAACTGAGTTTTCTAACAGGTCTATTAGCTAAACCAGTAATGGTGGTACAACACAGAGACATCAAAATGATAATCTGTTATTTGTGTGTAATTCACAAATGACCATGAAAACAAACTCCAAAGCTAATCATTACAACAAATGAAATGTACTCAACAATGTTCGGGTTGCTCTGAAATTTTATTACACGTCAATATCATAATTGTAAATGTGATCTACCCTGAACACTTTGCATGATGTTAACCTTGAAGTTGAAACCGCAGTTTGTAAGATTTCCAGTTATTTCAATTAATGAACCACATCTCACATTGTGGCTTTAAAACAAAACAACTTTTCCATTTGCAAGTTATTACAGTGTGCATTAATCAATTGATCCATTCCCATAGTTTTGCCACATCACCTCTCTCTCCCCCTCCAACTTCTCACTCATCTTTGGATTTCTGCTCCTTGCGAGCCCGAGAGGCCATGAGTTTGAAGAAGAGGGCGGGCCACAGGGTGCGAATGTAGACGGCCAGAGTGGGCAGGGGCCCAGCCAATAGGACCTCTTTACTCCTGTGATGGACAGCCTTTAGGACCACTTGGGCCACCTCTTTCGGTTCCCGCCCCAAAGCTGTCGTCTTGTCCAGGACTTCACCAGAGTAGAAAGGAGAGAAATAAATAGACTACTAACGTAATTACAGAGAGAGGGGGAGGGGAAGAGCAGACAGAGAATGAGAGAGAGAGAGTGGCCAGTTAATTCCTCTCCCTTACCTCCATATTTGGAGCCATCCCCCGTGACAGCGTTAAGAGACAGGTTGGTTCTGATGTAGCCAGGGCTGACCACTGTCACCTGTATACTGTAGCGCTCCATCTCAGCCCTCAGACAGTCGAAGTAGGCCTGGGTGGCGTGTTTGGAGGCCGCATCTGCTCAAAACACACCATGTGTTTATTCCATTTCATTCCCTTACTACTACAGATATCACTGACAGAGCTATTTGCAGGTGGAAATAATACTTGTTTCACTTTCCTTTAGAAATGTGCCGTACTACGGTTTGTAGATTTTTGTATTGTGTTATACATTTTCAAAAATATAAAAAAGTCAAAATTTGTAATGATTTCATGGATAATTATTTAGCTTCAGTTATAGGGTTGGCATCACTATCACTACATTACTCACAAGCTGATCTGTAGGGAATGGCAATCTTCCCCTGGACACTGCTGATGACCACTACGTGTCCACTGCGCCGGCGAACCATGGAGGGCAGGAGGGCTACAGTTGGAGAGAGAGAGAGGGATGGAGAGAAAGGGAGAAAACAAACAAAGTTGAGAGAGTGGAGAGAAGAATCAAGAGACTACATGACCACAGAGAGTGTACATTTGGAAATCAAGTGATCATAACCTTCTACCTTGAGTCAGAGCTATGGGCCCAAAGTAGTTGGTATCCATGACGCCCCTCTGTACGGAGATGTGCGTCTCCAGGATGTTGCCGCGATGACTGATGCCGGCGTTGTTGATGAGGACGTCCACGTGGCCATAGCACCTCAGGATCTCCTCCGCGGCCATGGCAACCATTTCCGCTGTGTCGGACAGGTCAAAGATCACCATAATGGGGGTGTACGTCTGCCGGTGATGACATCATAGACATGTCATAAGAATTCAAGGGGTGCATCTCAATAGTCTAATGTTGCTCTCGCCCCTCGTCTCCTTTCCTTCATCTGACATGATGCAAAAAAGCTGAACTGGTGAAGGCAAAAATTCTAGTATCCAACTAATCGCTCTCCCTTATCATGTTTTCAGATCAGCCCAGTGGAGGAAGAGGAGATGAGAAGTGAGTGAGTGTGTGTGTGTGTGTGTGTGTGTGTCTCTATACCTGCCGCTGGCTTTCTGCTGCGGTGGCTGTGAGCTCCTGAACTACGTCCTGTAGCCTGGCTGCGTCCCGGCCACACAGAACCAGCCTTGCTTTGGCAGCATGGAACACCCGAGCACACTCTGCAACACAACACACACACTATTTTAAAGGTATAGTTCACTTTGAACTAGTACCTAGAACCTTTGAGTATGTTTTTTATTTTATTTTTGTGATTCTGTCTATGTAGCCTACATTGTGTATGCTATAAAATTGCCTCATTGAGGACATTTAAGTTTTCTAATCTAAAGTAACACTCACCTCTCCCCAGGCCAGAGCTGGCTCCAGTGATGACCACCACAGCGTCCTGGATGGTAGCCCCCTGTTGGAGCCTCTGGAGCAGCCGGTAGAGCAGCACCAGCCCTAGCCCACCCAGGACCAGCGGCACCACTCCCCCCATTACACGCTCCATGGCTGGGATGATTGGACAGGACCACCCGACCCTATCAGTTTACCCCGCCTGGACAACACACAACCACTTCTCTTCAGGATTTCCAAGCTGCTTCCCAAATGGCACCCTATTTTCTATATAGTGCACTACTTTTGATAGGAATCTGGTCGAAAGTAGTGCACTATGTAGAAAATAGCATAATTTCAGAGGCAAGTTAGAGGCTGTCAACTTGTGAGGAACAGCAGAAATCATTGCTCACCAAATTAAAATACCGTAAAACTTCAATTAATATCCCAGGCGTTTATTTGCTTAATCACTGAACACAACAGGCGCTTATTAGAGAGAGACTTCTATTTGAGCCAGGCGTCTATTTCCTTAATGAACACATCTTTTGCTTATTTGCATTGTTCATTGTTTAATTCCAGCATCCACTTCCAGCATTTTAATCAATTTCTAAATCTCCTGCACTAATGTGTTATCATGTACACACTGTGTCATGTTTCTTTTGTCTTAGCACACTTCTTTAAAGAAAAAAAAGAAACAACTTTTCCTTGACAGAATAATTATTCTCCTCTGAATTTCCGGTAGTTCTTACTTTTGACACTAGAGGGTGATCGGGCGATTTTTAGGGGTCTGTACTCCCGAAGTTGTTGACAGTTTTTGTGCTTGCCAGTTAGCTAGTAGTTCTCAACCTCCGTTCCGCCAGCAAGAATAAGCAAGACCTAGCAAGAATAAGGCCAATAACAGTACAGTATGAAACGCTGTGATAAGGCCGTGACCTCAGATTTCCCTTCAAAATAAAAGTCCCACAATGAAAATGCTAAGAAATAATAAATGGTAGAAATTCGTAACATTTTATTAGGAAATGTAAGCAGACTTCGAATTTTGTTTAACAATATGAAAAAATGAATAACGTTAATCGCATTTACAGCGCAAATAATAATAATAATAATAATGATAATAAAGCATTGACATTGTTAACAGCATTAAAAGTAATGATTACTAGATAGTTATCATGGTAACAGCAGTAATAATTTAAAAAAACTATTTATAATGCTACTTGTCACGCCCTGACGTATTTGTTGAGTCAGGGTGTGTATTTTCTGTGTCGTGTTGTGCTATGTTTATTGTCTATGGTTAGATCTAGTATGTATAGATCTATGTTGGCCAGGGTGGTTCCCAATCAGAGGCAGCTGTAGCTCGTTGTCTCTGATTGGGGACCATACTTAGTTAGCCTGTTGGCACTAGTGGGTGGTGGGATCTTGTTCCGTATAGGTTTGTTGTGTGTACCTTAAGACTTCACGTATCGTTTGTTTGTTGTTTTGTCGTGTTTGCACAGTTATAATAAACATGTACGCTTATCACGCTGCGCCTTGGTTCGACCAATCTTTAAACGATCGTGACACTACTATTAATAATAATAGTAATAACAATATTAATATTATTATAATTATAATAATCAACTTTAGAAAACATGGTCCGATGAAGCGGATGCTAAGCTACAGGAGTGTTTCGCTAGCACAGACTGGAATATGTTCCGGGATTCATCCGATTGCATTGAGGAGTTTACCACATCAATCACCTGCTTCATTGATAAGTGTATCGACAACGTTGTCCCCACAGTGACCATATGTACATATCCCAACCAGAATCCACGGATTACAGGCAGCATCCGTACTGAGCTAATGGCTAGAACTGCTGCTTTCAAGGAGCAGGACACTAGTCCGGACGCTTATAAGAAATCCCGCTACGCCCTCCGACGAACCATCAAACAGGCAAAGCGTCTGCACAGGACTAAGAACGAATCCTACTACACCGGCTCGACGCTCATCAGATGTGGCAAGGATTGCAAACTATCACAGAATACAAAGGGAAAACCAGCCGAGAGCTGCCCAGTTGCCACGAGCCTACCAGAGGAGCTAAATGCCTTTATGTTCGCTTCGAGGCAAGCAACACTGAACCATGCGTGAGGTGGCTACTCTGAAGAATCTCAAATATAAAATAAATGTTGATTTGTTTAACACTTTTTTGGTTACTACATGATTCCATTTGTGTTTTTCATAGTTTATGTCTACACTATTATTCTACAATGTAGAAATAGTAAAAATAAAGCAAAACCATTGAATGAGTAGGTGTGTCTAAACTTTTGACTGGTACTGTACATGTTTCAAGCAAACCACCATAGTCCCTAAGAATGCCAAGGTAACCTGTCAAAAACCCTGGACCCACTCTAATTTGCATACCGCCCCAACAGATCCACAGATTACGCAATCTCCATTGCACTCCACAATGCCCTTTCCCACCTGGATAAAAGGAACACCTACACGAGAATGCTGTTCATTGACTACAGCTCAGCGTTCAACAGCATAGTGCCCTCCAAGCTCATCACTAAGCTAAAGACCCTGGGACTGAACACCTCCCACTGCAACTGGATCCTGGACTTCCTGATGGGGCGTCCCCAGGTGGTGAGCGTAGGCAACAACACAACAACCACGCTGACCCTCAACACGGGGGCCCCTCAGGGGTGCATGCTCAGTCCCCTCCTGCACTCCCTGTTCACCCATGAGTTTGCTGATCACCGATGAAGATGAGACAGCCAATAGGGGGAGGTCAGAGACCTGGCATTGTGGTGCCAGGACAACAACCTCTCTCTCAACGTGAGCAAGACAAAGGAGCTTATCATGAACTACAGGAAACGGAGGGCCGAACACACCCCCATTCACATTGTAGTAGAGCGGATCGAGAGCGTCAAGTTCCTCGGTGTCCACATCACTAACGACCTATCATGGTCCACACACACCAACACAGTCGTGAAGAGGGCACGACCACGCCTCTTCCCCTCAGGAGGCTGAAAAGATTTGGCATTCACCCTCAGATAATCAAAACGTTATACAGCTGCACCATTGAGAGCATCTTGACAGGCTCCATCATCGCTTGGTATGGCAACTGCTCGACATCCGACCGCAAGGCGCTACAGAGGGTAGTGCGTACGGCTCAGTACATCACTGGGGCCGAACTCCCTGCCATCCAAGACCTCTATATCAGGCGGTGTCAGAGGAAGGTCCTAAAAATTCAGACTCCAGCCACCCAAGTTATAGACTTTTCTCTCTGCTACCGCACGGCAAGCAGTACCTGAGCACCAAGTCTGTGACCAAAAGGCACCTGAACAGCTTCTACCACCAAGCCATAAGACTGCTGAAAAGTTAATCAAATGGCTACCAGGACTATTTACACTGACTCCCTTTAATTATTTATTTATCTTAAATTGTTTTGCACTGATTCCCTTGCACTGGCTCTATGCACATTCACTAGACTCTACCCACACACACACTACACTGACACTCCAACACACACACGCATATTGACACCACACACACTCATAGACATATCTTTCATACGCTGCTGCTACTCTGTTTATTGCCTAGTCACTTTTACCCCTACCCACATGTACATACCTCAACTACCTTGTGCCCCTGCACATTGACTTAGTACTGGTACTCCTTCTATATACCCTCGTTATTGTTTTTATTGTGTTACTATTTCCTTTTTTATTTAGCAAATATTTGTCTTACTTTTTAACTCTGCACTGTTGGGAATGAGCTCGTAATTAAGCATTTCACTGTAAAGTCTATACCTGTTGTATTTGGCGCATGTGACCAATACAATTTGATTTTACTCAGGAGCACTTTTACTTTCCAAATTCACAGAGCGTCACTGCTCATTGGACCACCCATACGTAAAAATGTATGCACACATGACTGTAAGTCACTTTGGATAAAAACGTCTGCTAAATGGCATATTATTTATTATTATTATTCGGAAGCCCTTAAAAGCGGGGCCAATCAGCTTAAATCCAATAGTTTTTTCATATTGGACATAAATATTGCAACATACAATTTTCTGTCAATTGTGTCGCAGTAAAAAGGGGGTCCATTCTATTAAGATGGGATAATGGGACAATTTGGAGAAGTGGCGGTCAGTGCCGTTTAAGATGAGGGAGGACTATTATTATTTTTTATGAGCATGGCCTAATTTCTATTACAGCATATTCCATTCACCCAGTTCAATGTAACATCGATAGGTTTAGGCTACTACATGATACTCAAATTTTCCCTATACCCATCATAAGGTTGCTACAACCTAGCCTATGAATGAAAGTTTACAATGTAGGTGCACAGGTCGAGAGAATTTTGGGTAATCAAGGTGACAGACAGTGACACATTCAATACCGCCTTGCACACTCTTGCCTGCATCTACAGTTGAAGTCAGAAGTTTACATACATTTAGGTTGGTTTTTCAACCACTCCACAAATTTCTTGTTAACAAACTATAGTTTTAGCAAGTCGGTTAAGACATCTACTTTGTGCATGACACAAGTAATTTTTCCAACAATTGTTTACAGACAGATTATTTCCCTTATAATTCACTGTAACACAATTCCAGTGGGTCAGAAGTTTACATACACTAAGTTGAGTGTGCCTTTAAACAGCTTGGAAAATTCCAGAAAATGATGTAATGGCTTTAGAAGCTTCTGATAGGCTAATTGACATAATTTGAGTCAATTGGAGGTGTACCTGTGGATGTATTTCAAGACCTACCTTCAAACTCAGTGCCTCTTTGCTTGGTCCTCTGTAGCTCAGCTGGTAGAGCACAGCGCTTGTAACGCCAATGTAGTGGGTTCGATCCCCGGGACCATCCATACACAAAAAATGTATGCACGCATGACTGTAAGTCGCTTTGGATAAAAGCGTCTGCTAAATGGCATATTATTATTATTTGCTTGACATCATGGGGAAATCAAATCAGCCAAGACCTCAGAAAAAAATGTGTAGACCTCCACAAGTTTGGTTCATCCTTGGGAGCAATTTCCAAACGCCTGAAGGTACCACGTTCATCTGTACAAACAATAGTACGCAAGTATAAACACCATGGGACTATGCAGCCGTCATACCGCTCAGGAAGGAGACGCGTTCTGTCTCCTAGAGATGAACATACTTTGGTGCGAAAAGTGCAAATCAATCCCAGAACAAGAGCAAAGGACCTTGTGAAGATGCTGGAGGAAACAGGTAAAAAAGTATCTATATCCACAGTAAAACGAGTCCTATATCGACATAACCTGAAAGGCCGCTCTGCAAGGAAGAAGCAACTGCTCCAAAACCGCCATAAAAAAGCCAGACTACGGTTTGCAACTGCACATGGGGACAAAG